AATGTTAATCGCTCAACAGGCCTCGTCGAAAACCATGATTGTTTTGACCACAAATTGTTCATAGTAAAAATATGTTGCAGGGGATTTGAATTTCGGCTTTCTTGATACGTGATCTACCACTCCTGCTGTTTTAGCTCCAGCGATATCTGAAAAAGAGTACTCAAACGGTTACACTCAGTCAGCCCATCTAATTGATCTTGACTGATATGACTTGTTTCCTCTGTTTTAGTGAGCGCTATGACTATTTTTTTGAAATCGCCTAAAGTTTGCAACTGGTTTTCTAAGAGGTTATTACGGAATAATTCGCATGACCATACAACAGCAAATAATTATTGTTCGTTCGTACTGAAATTTTGTTCTGCCGAATTAAAATATCTATCGAGGTAGAATCGATAAGAACCCAGATGTCTGGTTCTAGCTTCTGCTCCAATGCGGCGCCTAGCCCTTTATGGCTTCTGTCGCACTTGATTCTAGGCTGTTTGGATGCATCGTAGTGGTAAACCTTCGGTATTTTGGCGATTTCTTGTTGCTTGCTTTAATTGATGGTCGTAGAGGTTCTGTGTGCATCCGAAAAACTTTTTCGAAGCCCAGCCAAAATAAATTGGTCTTTCAGAACTCGCATTTGCTTAGTTTGAGTGCATGTCTTTTCTTGTCCAGTTTTGTCATTACTTCTTCAACTATCTCATTGTCCTTTCGAAACTATTCAGATGTCAATTAAATAGTTGTGTTTACCATCGCTTTCTGAAGTTCCTTTGACATGTATGTTAGAATATAAAAATCGTTTTTAAATCTGTATGTGCTAGTAATTTTTCTGCATACGATGCTGAAGTTGCAGTGTTTGCTAATGGAATCATCTAAAGGTTATTGACTGAATGCATACTTTAAATCAAGGGAAGTGAACAATATTTTGCCTTCTGATTTGGAAGCAATTATTTGGGCTGCTGAGTCCAGTAGTTCTATACGGTTTGGTATCTGAAATTTGTTTTTGTATACATGGAAATTCTTGGGTTTCGCATCCATCGCTAGCTTTACCGAGCCACCTTTTTTTGCGGTGATCTCTACCGCAGCTACAAATTGATCGCTTGTGCGCTTGTCTAGTTTTATGATATGTCCCTCTATGATCAATTGTTATATTCCGCTCCAACCTTAGCTTGTATGTGAATTGACATGCTTCTCCCTTTTCCTGAACAGGAATTAGTGGCGAGTTGAACAATATGTATACTTCATGATTCTTAGAGCGACCCAATCTTTGAAATACATGGCCGAATTTTTTGTTGAAATAATTCTTCCAGAGACGTGTCTCTTCTGATTCTTGTTTTACTTCCGATATATCGTTTATCGTGTTTGACGGTGGTTTTAGTTGTGTTGTGACTATGCAGACACCTGCTCGTTTTTTCTGATATGGGGAACCTTCTACCCATGATTCTTCACCCTTTCGAACACACGTCAGTTTCTAAGGTACCAAACAAATTGATCGGTTTTTGATTGCAATCAACACTTGCTGATGTGAAAGGATTCGGCTTAAGAAGATGATTTTGCACTCGGGCATTTTGCTATTAAAAAATCTGCTGTCCGTTAATTGACAAAGGACAGGGGCTTCCACTACCTATCGTTGCCTTGAATAAAGGTCCTTTCGATTTCAAGGTAGTCCTGAGACATTTAGTCTTCCAGTGGCTGAATTTATTACTTCCAGCTTTTTGACCGAGTCATTCTACTTTGTTTGTTGTTTTAAGCTTGGATTGACATGAGGAGTTCTTCTTTAGCCCTAATATGATTTGTGAAAGTAGTCGAGTTTTCTGATGATGACTGGTTCTGTTTTTGGAGGTTTATGGCTGTGAGATATATCTTTTACTGTAAAAGGGTATTTTTAGTGTATCGTTTACTGTGTTACCGGGTCGCACAAACAGTCCTTTCTCAATATCTAACAACCTCATTTTGGCTTTAAAAACGTGACGTTCACATACTTTTCAATCTCTTCCGTCCAATTACCTTTTGATGCTTGTCTTGCCAATCTGGGGTAAAAAAAAACTTTCCAGAACTTCTCTGTCGCCGTATGATGATCCATTTAGTTGCATCCTTTGGATGGTGTACTTTTTTTTACGTTCTCAGCGCCGTAATAAAATCTCAATGTGATTGAATTGAGATTTACGTGTGCATGTTGTTGAAAGAAGCTCTCCTTCCCTTCGTTACCCAAGGCAAAAAAGTCGCGACTTGATTATAGCTTTTGTCTTGTAAAAGTAGACGTTTGGAATTGTTTTGGGTCCCGTCTACCGACTTTCTTCATTTGCTTCGTTGGTATTCCAAACCGCTGCTTCTGTTCTTGCTTTTCTGTTAACCGTCTCAGTTTAATTTTTTGTTGACAGAATAATTTCAGGTTTTCCACGGTGGGTTACCGCGTATTTTGCTAGCGGTCATAATAGCGGTCATATTATCGGTCATAAGATACTAGCGGTCATATTAATTATCATAGTACGTAACACTTGGTGGACGCTTGACCTCCACCACATAAAAAATATCCTGCTCTATGCATGTTTTATGCTATCATTGAACCTTTAACATCCGTATATAGCCAAATATGAAATCATACGTAAAAAAATATATGTTCTCTCTAACAAAATTTCCGATCAGGCGGGCTGTTTTCTTATTCTGGGTCGTCAGATGTTACCTAATTTTTCCCATAAATTTCTAGTTCGCATCGGTGGAAAAAAACTTGAGTGAAACATTCGCATTCAATTTGTTTGTTTGTTTGCTAAAAACTTGTGCATAATACTTTTCATACCAAAATGATTAGCAAATAATTTAATTAGATGTTGAGCCTTTGTGAGTACAATTCAAACGAATTATGCCCGGCTTTAGGATGATCAAAACAACCACAAACAGTTTGTTTAAAATTTCTTGAGTTTTTTATAATTGGCTTGACTTGATTTTTCTTGCTTCACTTCCAGCAACGAAGTTGGAATGCCAGCTATGCTAAAAGCAACACAAGTTGCAGTTCTGGGGCCAATATACGCGACTTGAAATCAGTAAAATCAGCCATTTGTGGCCTTAGTAACTCAAAATGTGCAAGTCGCGACCTTCGCGACCTAAAAAATAAGTTGCGACTTTGTGCGGCCCAAAATTTTGTGCGACCAAAAATTTGTGCGACCTAAAAAATAAGTTGCGACTTTGTGCGGCCCGGAATTCGATATATCGGAGTAGGTCATTATCGAATATCAAAATCATGACAGTATCGATATATCGATATTCTTCGATATGATCGATATTTTGCTCAAAAATGAAGTGATTTAGTTTTTATTGCCGCCGACACAGAAAAACCTGCCGGCCTAATAAGATGAATAATTGAACTAAGACAAGCAAGAGCGCAGGGCGCAATTTCAAAAATCTTTCTAACATTGAATACATCAAATTTTCATTCATTTTTATATTTAAAACACGAAAGTATCAAAAATATCGAAAATATCGAAATATTTCACTTTTTTTATAGAAAGTTCATTATTACTGTGTCAAAATTATCAATATCGATATTTATATCGAAAACTGCCTTTCGAAAATATCATGTTTTGCATCGAATATTGATATATCGATAAAAATATTGATATCGATCGTATTACCTGATTACGCCGATGTTTTTTTAAGTTGACAATGCGTTGTTACCTTATTGGCGGTACCTAAAGTGCCTTTTTCTTTTATTTTGGGCTTTTTTTGCGAAATATCTCTTTTAGTGTGTTTATCGGTCGCCCGCCTTGCCCCGGGTCTTCCAAATTGAGTTGCGCATCTCGGCCCAGGTTTTATGGAAAATTAAAATCGCTTACGACTCAAGACGCGCACCTCGGCCCAGGTCCTCAGAGGAAAAAAACGTCATTTTCGACCAGTTCTTGTAAAACGCTATCAGCTTAGAACTTTTTCTTATGTCAGGAATGCTCTTTATTGTATCAATTTAGAATTGGAAAAAGTAAAATATTCATAAACAGTGTGCCAAAAAAGTTCTTCGGAAATTCATAAGTAATCTTTAGCGTCCGAGGCTTCATCATTGGCTTGATTGGATTTGCTTGCTTAACTTCAAGCACTGAAGTTGAAATTTCCACTTTATGGTGATAGAAAACGAGAAGCAGTTGCCGGGCCAACGTACGCGACTTGAAATCAATATAATTTGTTTAATCAGCAGGTGCGACCATCACGACTCCAAACGGGCAAGTCGCGACCATCGCGACCAAATAGCTTAAGTTGCGACTATGCGCGACCAAAAACTTTGGCTCCAAAAATCGCAATTAGCGCGACCGAAAACAAATTAATCATGACCACGGTTTGCTATTTAAGCTTTGAATGTTCGGGTTGAAGTGGTCAAGTTATGTATCAACCGTATGGGTCGAACGATGTCGTCTCTCGACTCTCTTTTTGTCGAATTAGATTTTGGGTCTTCACTCACTAATGAACGTTCCTTGATTTTTCACAGGTTTGAAACACACAGCCATGCTTATTTGGGTTGGAATGCGTTGTTGACTTGTTCGTTGTATTTTGAAGTGCATAGTTTTTTGGTGCCTGGATCTTTCGAAGTGTGCCTTTTTATTTGACCATCGGTCGCGCACCCGGCCCGGGTCGCACTTTTTAAGTTGCGCAACTCGACCAGTGTTGCGCACTTTGAGTAGCGCACCTCAACCTGGGTCTTCTAGAAAATTAACGTCATTGCGACTTAGAAAAAATTCAAATTGAGCGTGCCAGGTATATTGTTGAACTTGACCACCTGTTGTACACTGAAATTTTCTATTCGGCAGATTTTAGACTTTCGAAGGATTGGTTTCGACAAGGCAGTACAGTTTCTTCGCGATCGCTATCATACGAAATGATTTCGCTTAATTCTTCACTAGCAACCCAGTCTTCTTCAATCAATCGGCTCACAAAAAAGTAGTTGTTCTGAGCAAGCTATTTAAGCAAAGAAACTTTGAGAAAATTAAAGTTATTCCACATAGTGAGTAGGCTCGTGAAAAGTTTAGCACATCTAAAGAACATAATAGCATTAGAGCTGACTTTTATTAGAGTAACCACATAATTCTGCAAACTCTTTTATAGTTACATTTCGTCCATTTAGTGTATAGACGCTTTCGAGGAAAATCTTCCTTCTCGTCTGCTTTTCAAGGAGCACTTCAACCAAATCCGAATCGTCGTAATTCAAGGCGAAGTGAAGCGCATTTTTCCCCATGCATGTCTGAAGCAACAACTTGTCAGGGAATCCAGCCTGAAACAGAAGCCTGAACACATCTGGAGGGCAGCGGCAGTAGCTGACGAGACAGAGAAGAGTGACGTCACCTCTAGTTAAAAGAGGGTAAAGACCGGACAACTCCTTCTTTTTTTGTTCTTCCAGGTTCAGTCTGAAACCAAAACGACAACTAATACAAGTTGGAATACTCAATTGCTGCGCAACTAGCACAGGAAATTTCCTATCCCGATCACTCACAAATAAAGAAGTAAGTATGGCTTTTAGAGTAGTATGTTCTCTTCGCGCGATCGTAGGTAACTCGTAATGATTCGAATTGTATTAATATAATTTGTAATAACAATTGCCTTTGTTCAGTTTGGAATTATTTCGGAACCGAAGTATATAGCGAGCCGCGAGCGATATCAATTGCGAATTGTTTTCTTAACCCTAGAACTTTCTGAAATATTTATTTTTTAATTTGAGCTCTAAACATCAGTAACCGTCAGAAAAGATATCAGATGTTATAACAGTTCAGTTCTCATGTAGCAATATGTTTAATTCAACGCCAATTGTCTCGATCAAATTTTTTTATGTTCTGCGCTCTTTTGTTTCAGTGTGCGCCAGACAAAATAGCAATCACAAGGTCAACGCAGCAGGTCCTCAGACAGAACCAAAGACTTCACAAATAAACTCAAACTTGTCCCTATGTCATTTCGACGTTAGATACCGGCCCTCTCCCTGGGTTCGTTTAGCGACTCCTTCTTGCCTCTTTTTATCCTTGAGGTTGATCATTTTCGGCTTTAGATGCCGGCCCTCTCACTGGGTTCTTTTAGCGACTCCTTCTTGCTTCTTTTTATCCTTGAGGTTGATCATTACGCCACACATTTTGGTGGCCCCTTTTCGCTGCCTCGTCCAACGTCGCGTGGGTTCACCAAGTTCCCCTTATGTTCAAAAAGTCGGTTACCGATGTCCCCGCTCACTCATTTTCCGAGGATTCGGTCGTAAAGTTTCTCCTACTTTCGTCCCCAACTATTTCCTCATTCGTCGTTTTCTCTTCGCTAATCGCATCCGTCCGTTGGTTCTCGTCTTCATCTTTGCTGTACTCGTCGCTGCTCGTGCCAATTTTTCGTCGCATTTTTCTTGTTGCGCTCCTCTGCCCCCGTAGACACTAGTTTTTTCTGTGTTTCTCGTTGCGGCTGTTCTGCTCCGGTCGGTAAACTTATCTCTTTCTCCGCCGGTTCGGCCATCTGCATTGTTACCGCTCGTTTTTCCTTGGCTTTCGATCTAAAGGAAACAACGCTTCATCTTAGTAGAAATCCTTTTTTCAATTGAACCGTATGTGGAGTTATTTTCTTCGATTTTACTAAATAGACGTTTATACTTCCATGGATCTTTCGCGTTTCTGAACTCGGCTTGTTGGTACACAATAGTAGTAGTCTTGTGTCGTTTCAGCAATGATGGTGCGCTTTGGTGTGACAGCACTGCATCCGTTTCGCCAGCTCGTGCTCGGCTAGTACTCGAGGTTCAGTACTCGTCTAGTACTCGTCTAGTCTAGTACTCGTCTAGTCTAGTACTCGTCTAGTCCTCCTATTCTGTGGGACATACACTAAATCACTTCTCTTCTACCAATCCAAATTCATTACGACTTCTGGCCCTCCACTCGCATCATCTAAACATTTTAATTTATGGCTAATAACATAGATCCAATCGAGCTTTTTCAATGAATGACATTTTTTTCGTCAGATTTCGGAGTCCGGTATTAGTCTCTCTTCCATGAAACGCCTTGAACGGTGTTAAATTACTTCTAGAGTGTGGTACGAAACGTAATGCGCTAAACGCTCTTGATATCATCTTTTTTAATTTTGAGTTTTTGTCTTCTCGTAGTCATGTTAGAACCTAATTTTTCGTTTAGCCGATGGTTCTTTCGACCATACCTGTAGTGCATGAACTTATACCAGAGGTTTATAAGTTTGTTTCCTTCTTAGCTGCAAAAATTTAGTATTTTGTTCAAGAAGAACCCGGACGCATGGTCCAGATGTAGTTTCCTTGGGTGCCCATGTGTTTTGATATATTTCCTCAGGGTTTTTGGAGCGTTTTGTGAATTGTAGCTTGAACAGACATAAGCCGAAGCAGACATCACGAAAATTCTTCCACCGCTACTAAAACATATAGTCTTTGCCTTCTTACGTAGTTGACTGGGCCCCCAAGATGCAGTGGACTAAATTGTTCGGTTGCTTATGTTAATAAGTGCTATCTAAGTCTTCTTTCGGTATATCTGGTATGGGATTTTTATATGCTTTCAAGCAGTGTTTGAAGAACTTTGCTGTAGTTGATGGGACCCATACATCTTTCGCCGCTGCGAACATCTTGTCCATCTTGTGATGGTTGGAGCGCAGTCTGTTTAGGATTCACGTGTACAAGACCTTCAGGATCACCAACCGGCGATTCATCCAGAGTCAGTTCTCTCTTACTGAAAAATCGTTATAGAGCTGCACGTTGTACTGCCCGTGCCAGGTGACAACTTTTTTTGCCCTTGAATTTTTTGGTCACTGATACAGTCTCTGATGGTCTTCAGTATTGGGTCCATTTCAAGGTTGGCCTCCACGAGCTTTACGTTCGGTTTTTCCGAGATATCTAGCTTTTTCACGATTCGGTATTTTTTGGGGACCATCGGGTACGCACTTTTCACTATTTACAAGGGGGCAAGAGAGACCCGGGAACTGGTTGGGGAAGGAAATGATGGTAATCATTTACTTTGAAGCGCTCGATTTCAGTTGAAGCTTTTGTGGTGGGAAGTATTACTTCGATGGCAGAGTCTGGGCTGAGACTAGGGAAATGATTTAGCACGTGATTGAGGACACTTTTAGATTCATATTTCCTGTTTGAGTTGACGCACTTGCAATTGTTGAAGTTTTAGCCGCATAGTATTTTTCTGGCGAGTTGTAAGTTGACATTTTAAGGACAGAGGATTTCAACTTTTGATTATTTGAGCAACTGTAATTAGCTGACTGAGAACAACGTTTGACTTTGGTTGAGTTGTATTTGCATTTATCCATGGGTATGCGAATACGTCGCTTCTGACTGGCTGATCGTCAGTTGCATGCTGTCACGCTCTCTCGCGAATGTGTATGCATCATTTTACAGTTTGCATATTCAAATTTTTCAAAATCCGATTGAACATGTGTCTCTCGCGTGGTCGGAAGCATGATCGTACGCCCTCAATCACCGGTTTTTTTGGAGTTTTTTTGCTGTTTGATCTCTAGGATTTAACTGGTCCTGAGGATATAGGGCTTCATTAATCATCTTGATTTAAGCTGCATTAAAATTTGCGTCATAGTGGGCTGCGTCCGGTGCTGCTGCTGGGGGAAAACGTGATAAATAGTCAGTCATGCCTATTTCTGATCCATGGTGGTTTTCTACTGTAAAAAGGTAGGGTAATAAGCGATCGTACCACCAATTTAGTCTACTTGAAAATGTTTTTTTTTTACTTTAGAGCTAAGAGATTTTTCTGATCTGAGAGGAGTGTAAACATTCGCCCGTAAAAATAGTTACGAAAGGGTTTGGTTGCCCATATTACAGCAAGTTGTTCTTGTTCGTTTGTCGATTTTTTTGTTGCCGCCATAGGATATCTAGAGGCAAATGATATTGGATGCTGCCCATCCGAATCGTTCTGCTCTAAGACGGCCCCCAAATTGTCGTGACTGGCATCGCATACTATGCGAGATTCCCGAAATTTCTCGATTTGTTTGAAATCAACAATAATCTTGACCCACCATTCAAGCTGCTAAAACGGGTTGTCGCATGCCGGCGTCCAAATGATTTCTTTTTTTTTTAAATTCAATAACGGTCGAAATGAAGAGCCAACTTCTTCTAGTTTTGGTAAAAATTTATTTAGATCTTTCACCGCCTGAGTCCGAATTTATGGGCTTTAGATTTTTGACCGCCTGAGTTTTTCTGACCAACAGTGTTATACCGTCTTCCTCGATTTTGAACCTAATCATTCACATTCGCTTCTAAAGAATTCAAATTTCCGTAGCTTCAGAGCAGCATTGGCTACATCCAGTTTTTTCGGGACTTCGTGGACTTTCGCAGTGTGTTCAGTTTTTCTGCCCTTAGAGACAGCTAATATGACGTCTATAATTGCGTTTGCCTGAAAGAAATCTTTGAGTTTGGTGTCTATTAGTTTTTGAACTAATATATAGGTGACTTCGGCGTGCACGCATCCCAAAGTGTTATAATAATCAATGGATTCTTCTCCAACCCCCACTTTTCTTTCTGCTGATTGCGCCATGGTGTAGGTGTGAAAACACGAGGTTAAATATGTTTATGTCAAAGGCAACTGTATCGTTCAAAATACTTTTGTTCTGCACTCTTTTGTTTCAGTGTGCGCCAAACAAGATAGCGATCACAAATTCAATGCAGCAGCTCTCCGTACGGAACCAAAAACTTAACATATTATCACGAAACTTGTTACTATCTCAGCTCAAAAATTGCTAGTTGACCAGTCGAGAACTTTTAAACTACGTGCACAATCATTTGACCACATTCTTGAAATGTTGGACTAAAATTTATTCCAAAATTCAAAACAAATGACGGAAAAAGTGTGCTTGCGTGGCTTTTTTCTTTGGGCCATTTTTGATTTTTTAACTACCAGATTTGACTGAAGTCTTGTAGAATCAAAAATTTTGATTCTTTAGGCCAAAATTAACAAAAGTCCTTGAATTTGGGCGAAGTCCTGAATGTTTCGATAGGCGTTTAAACTCGATGAAATGGTTTTGATTGCTTTGAAACGTCATAGAAACGTCATAGAATATATATTTAAAAAATTGGAAACGTTTGAAAATTTTCTTAAATTCATTACCCAATACGCCATGAAAAGCGCGAAAAGAAACAATTTGCGTCTGATAACGTATTATTGAGAGCCAATTGCCAGCGTCTGTTCGATTTGGATTGATTTATTTTCCCGCTAAAACTTTAAAGAAATTGATTTGTATTTATCCATTCTTAAATTTTAGTCGTCTAAATAGTCGTCATAAGCTGAAATTATGGAAAACAAGTCAAAAAGATCGCCAACGTTTAATCCAATCGGTGTCCAACTTATGTCAGTCATCTAGCCTGACAAAAGAATCGACAGCTAAATACTGATACTTCTGGCAGTCACATTAGGGCACC